TTCCACAATGAGACCTGGGGAACAGTGTGCTCTGAAAGTCTGGATGACAACGATGCGGAAGTGATTTGTAAACAATTGCACTGCGGTGCCCTCCAGTCCGTTGATCATGACGCTCAGGTATTTGGAGCAGGAACAGGACCTATTTGGCTTGATGAGATAGAATGTCTGTCAGACGATCCAACCCTATGGCAATGTCGGAGAAATCCGTGGGGTCAACACAACTGTGAGCACAGGGAAGATGCCGGTGTTGTTTGTTCAGGTAACTCAACAAACACTCTCAATGTTTAGGTGTCATGTGAAACACTGATTTCGAGTCGAGTTAGCACGTTTTTCCTCTTAACAGAGAGCGATGTGACGAAGGACCAGTTCCTCAAATCAAATTCCTGCCATCAACAATCAGGTACGTCCTCATCGTGAAGGTGCCAACTATTGCAATACTATTGCTGCTTTGTACTGCATTTAATAGTAACCTGTTCTGTGCCACAGATTCGCAACATACCGTGCGCCTGGATGGAGGCAGCAACAGCTGTTCAGGGAGAGTGGAGATCATGTGCAATGAACGCTGGGGCACATTGTGTAGGGATTCCTGGGATATAACTGATGCCAATGTTGTCTGCAGACAGCTGAGATGTGGCTTCGCTCTGTCGGCCCAAGGAGGGCCCGCTGTCTCCCGGGGTAAAGGTGTGATCTGGCAGAATGATGTGAAGTGCAAGGGAAGTGAATCCTCTCTTGCCGAGTGTCTCTCCCCAGCACCAGCACAAAGGGAATGTAATCACAAGGAAATTGCCAGTGTGACCTGTTCTGGTAAGGACGATTCTGACCATTGATCATCAATGTCACAAATTAGTGCCGACATTTGTCTTCTGGTATTGAATTTCACCTTCATGAATATTTGTGCAATCTCTTCCACAGGATCCTCTTTGATGCCGACTTCCCCTTCACCTCCACCTGCGGGTATTTATAATGATACTATTTTAAATGTTTGTGTTAGCGTTATGTTCCTGATTAATGACATTAATGCTGCTGACATTTTCACGAATTTGAAGTTTATGTCGGTGTGTAATCATTGATGAATTCTTTGCAATTATACAAGGCAGCCTGTAACTAAGATAAAATTCTCTATAATCTCTTCTTTAAGGACTGGAAAGTGAATCCATTTCCATACCTGTTGTCGTCTGCTTAACGTTAGGAGCTCTGTTAATCCTTGACTTGATCGCACTACTAGTGGTAATGTGGAGAAAATTGCAAATGAAAGGTGAGCCTCACACTTACCGAATGAGTCAGCACTCAGT